ACTCGATCGAAAGCCTTCTTCCTTGACATCGAGAACTCTCTCTGAAATTATTCTCATAACTCCGATGGCATCTCTGGTTCCTCCTGAGTCCAAATTGGTCGTCTCCCATCACTTCCTCTATCTTCTTTTCTATTTACCATGGAATACTATTGGCGACATTTGAGGTTCTGACGGCGGTGAAGACGTGGCTTAGTCGGCGCACTCTTGAGCCCTGAATCGCTCAAGACTCGGTCTTACCGGGGAACAAGTTGTTGTGGTGTTCCCTGCATTGGCGTGTGACTCCATCAGGAGGTGTATGCATGATCCAATTATGGCTGTTACAATGACACCAACAGACATTCCAATCCTAACAATAAGACGGAACACCTCTACGCTGCACAAAAAGGAAACCCAGTGGTGCCAGCACCCAAGGCAGTGCCCACAGACGTAAGCCCGACAACACTGGGGCACGGAACACTTACCGCGAAAAAGAAGGCGATGACAAAAGACAATGCCATTGGAATGAATCCGGCGGTGGTTGTGCGGCCAGTTTTCTTAGCCGCATAGATGGCCGTTCCCTGGTTCACGAGGCCAAAGAAAATGGCCACCACTGCCTGAATCTTTCCAAATTTCTTCCACTTCAGGCATGGCTGATGCAACGAGAAAGTGCAAACATTTCAATCCCTGCGATCGAGATCTGCAACTGCGTATCCTGATCGATGACTTTTGCGTCTGACTCTGGGCCAAGCCAGGGCTGTAAGGGGGATGGTCGAAAATCTCCCACTTGAACTGTGGTGCCGCGCATTGTCGTCCCCTTCGTTTATTCTGGACTGATCTCCCAAGCTTTATGAACGTTTCGCAATAAACCTGTGATGTTATTGTCTTCCATGAATTCTGTAAGCTGAATTCCTATGTTTGTTTGAATTTCTTGGGCTTCGTGCTGAGACGCTGGATCCTTGACTCCCTCCGATGGAGTGTGAAAGCGTTTTTACCAGATATGCAACTTCTCCTGTCCCACGGCTCCTGCCTGCTCCTTGTGAAGCTGTGAAGAATCTCTTCAGCTTCATGCGGGTTGGCTTGAGGGTCTGCTCCCCCTGCGACGTCGTGTGTGGTGTCCGCCTTGTCTGGTCTCGTACCGATTATGATAATTGCCTTTGCTGTTCTGTGGTCCGGGGTTTGACCCCCGGTTCCGTTCTCCGTCTTCCTTGACTTCCAACTTGTTGAGGAAGATGAAGGCTTCCTTAATGGTGCTTACATTAGGGGGGTGGCCTGAGTTGGCGTCTGTAAGATGTAACTAATATAAGCGCGGTGACAAATGTGTCTCCTGCAGTGAATATGCCAAAAGTGGGCCGACATAGTTCCTCTGTTCCTTGCCTTCGTCGTATCGATCCTGATACAAAGCGCATCTCGTCCGGGACTGTGTCTGAGGACTCCATAGTAGCTGTTACGGCTTGTATCTAGCGATGAACCTTTGTTTAGCGTAACCATCTGTAAGTGCCTTCAAGGCCAACGGAGGTCTGACCAAAATGGCTACCACATTCCGCTCGTGGCAGTCCGCGACTTTAGGTGGTACCAGGCCATTGAACACGTTGGTCAAGCCCCCGATGTGTTTGGTCCGTCCCCAGGGCAGTTGTCTGCTTCATGGCATAGCCGATCGAAAAGTTGGGGCTTGAATAATACCACGTAAACGAGGAACTAAGTTAGGCCCCGAACCTCGTCCATGATAGCAAGGCCTCCGTGCAGCAATTGTAACATTTTACATTGCGCAGTCCGCCCAATGGCTGAACGTATTTATGTTCCAACACGTCCACACGTAGCCCCCGGAACAAAACAGAGGCGAGTCTGATTACAACAAAGCGATACCTGCCACGTCTGAAATTAAATGTTGATTTAAAGTTACGCGAGTGAATGGAAGTTGTGCTCAAACTGGACGTTTAAACGCTTTAAAGGCGACTTTGCAGGATTTTTATGGCAGAGTGTTTTGTCCTAATCCGGCAACAGATATTCCTCAGATGTAATAAAATATTCTTCACACTTACCTGCCACGGTGATGAAACCTCAGAACGCAAACTTATCAGATTTTACTCACCATGAACACCTCACAAGACTCCTTCATAGACACTGCGCGCTGAACAGCACTCAGAGGGAGCCAGGAAAACCAACCCTAAAAAGCAGGCGCAAGCATCGTCCCTCCAACTTGTCGTAAGAATTTGGTTCTCTGAGGTTTGGACCCACAGAGGGAGGGGCCTTTTCGGCTGAAGGCCACTGAGGTCCATTGCTCTGCCCAAAAAGAGCTCCCCAGTTTTCCCTATTCTCAGCTTCTCGTTTTAACTCCTGGAACTTCATCTTCTTCCCAGTCCTCGCTTTCCTTCAACCTGGCCTTCGATGTCCCAGCCAGTTGGCCTGAGGTACGGAATGTGTTATCGTCGCTCCTTGGTAGGCACTTGAATCTTCTGAGGGGCGTTAACGGCGTGTAACTCCCGACAACTAGAAGCTTCCTTTATTGCTGAATATAATCTTTTCTTTTCACACTATTTATTTATTTAAGAACAATGCAGATGATCTCAGACTCACAGTGTATTTGCTTGAGACTGCGTCGAAGGGTTTACTGACGAGCTGTTGTAAGCGTCTTGCCCCCTGGTTCGAAACATTCCAAACCAGCGACGTATTTACTTGCATTCAGCTCTTTCAAAGTCTATCTCTCTCTCTCTCACGCTGTTTAATGCGTATGGTCCAGCAACATTGAACCATAAAGTCTAAACTGACTTTCGACATATTGCAGCCATAAATATCAAAGTGTGAACCATGAGAGTTCAACCGATTTTGCCGCTTAGTGTAAAAAAGAAGACTCCTGGGAACCGAAGGTCCTCGCACGTCCTTGTCCTGAAGAGTTTGGTGGTTGCCACCAGAAAAAGTTGAATAAAATTCAGCTTAATTAAATAATAATAAACTAAATAGTTTGATCAAATTACCTCAGCAGAAGATGTAATTTGGACAGTTACAGTGTTGTAATTGTGTTGATCGTTGTATCTACCTTAATGTTATCCTGTTTTACTTTATTGCGATTTACTTCTCGGGTGGAATGTGCCTGAAGTAAAACTTGATGTCCGTACCCTGAACGAGGTTTCAGGAGTGCAACTTTGCCCAACCCGTACGTGGTTACGTCTGGACAAATAATTGACATGCGTTCGGCGTATCCTTTATCGTGTCCTGCGTCTTCCTCCGGTATCTGGCCCATTCTGTGGGCAACAGATTTTTATTCTGAAAGCGAATGGCAACTGTTTCGCCGCACTTGCGAACGTTCCGAGTGCGTCCACCCCCGATACGAGTTCTCGAAGTGCATAAAAAGGCCTCGGCTTAGTCGTCGCACTCTTGAGCCCTGAATGGCTCAAGACTGATCTTACTGGGGAAGAAGTCGGGCATTGACTTGATCCAGTGGAGGCATATGCCAATTATGTTGGCCGCAATGCCGACTGTATATATAGCAATCTTCACCCAAAGGCGGACCGTTTCAATATTTATCCTGGGCCAAGGCCACCGGAAGCAGCAGTACTCATGGAGACAGAGATAAATGTAGAAGCGTGAAAGCTGTGGGAAATAAAAACAAAGGCGAGTCAGTTTACATTTCTTAACTTACAACAAAGCGATACCCGTCACATCTGAAATGAAATGTTGATTTAAAGTTACGCGAGTGAATCGAAATTATGCTCTTATATTATTGCTATGTACTTACAAATTACTTGTGACCAAAGGAACAGATCAACAGAAAGTGGGTATTTACGAGCATCGATTAGCAGCTTTAAATGGCAGGCCTAAGTCCTCTTATTTTAAACTGGAGTCTGCTTATTTATTGCACGCAGTTTTAAAAGGTCATGATTTATGCGTCACCCTGCACGGGATAATTATTATTATTATTGAATGTTCTCTCTGACGACAGGTCCATTGCTCTGCCCAAAAAGAGCTCTCCATTTGAAATTCACATTTCACTTCACTTTGTAACCCAAGGTCTTCATGAAGCAAGTCCATAAGGACAACAAGGAATTCATGCGAATCCTGGTGTTCACTACCACGGAAATTGTTCCTCAAAAAGTCCACATCTCTCTTCAGGTCTTGACAATTAGTAGACTCCAATTCTCCAGATCGCAGCTTTAACATTACAGTTGCAACCTCCTTTGCAACTTTGCCCTGTGTCACATCTTCATCGTAACCTCTCGAACAGAAGTAATCCGCTAACGGAGTGTTCTTCAGGCATTGCATGATGGAGCGGTGGCCTTGGAGCTGTTTCAGGGCGAGAGCCCGAGAACAGTCTTCAATGGTCTGTGTAGATTCGTTTATTAATTAATAATAGCGATACTGTAGTGGTGGTTGTGCTGAGACGCTGGATCCTTGACTCCCTCCGATGGAGTGTGAAAGCGTTTTTACCAGATATGCAACTTCTCCTGTCCCACGGCTCCTGCCTGCTCCTTGTGAAGCTGTGAAGAATCTCTTCAGCTTCATGCGGGTTGGCTTGAGGGTCTGCTCCCCCTGCGACGTCGTGTGTGGTGTCCGCCTTGTCTGGTCTCGTACCGATTATGATAATTGCCTTTGCTGTTCTGTGGTCCGGGGTTTGACCCCCGGTTCCGTTCTCCGTCTTCCTTGACTTCCAACTTGTTGAGGAAGATGAAGGCTTCCGTAATGGAGCTTACATTAGGGGCGTGGCCTGAGTTGGCGTCTGTAAGATGTAACT